CCGCCGCCCCCCGTGGCGCCTGCCTATAAATCAGCCTAATTTGCAGCACAATCGGCCAATGCCGATTAATTAAAAAATGCCAAAAATCGGTCGACCTCTAATTGACAGCGTACAGAAAACCAGACACACTGTCAAATGAATACAAAATAAACATTTCCAGATAACATTTTAAATATTGGCTTTTGCATTAGTTCAGTGTCAATAAAAAATTATATTATTTACAGTATTTTTAAAACAACCTTTGATATCACAATTAATATTTCTATCACACAGTATAAATGGGTCTTTATGCCTGAAATTAAATACATTTTTATTTTAGGAAATAGTCCCTTAAAGCAGTGATTCTCAACCGGTGGGCCGTGGGCCGCGGCCCACTAGTGGGCCTTCGAGTGCCATCTGGTGTAGGCAGTGGTAGACTAACCCAAATTAATTTTCATTTATTTTTTAATTGACAAATCTTGTTATTTTGTAATTATCTAATTGTTCTTATGAATTTATATGATCAAAAACACTCAAGTCAAGTCAAGATGCATTATCTAAAAGCTAATTTATATTTAAATATCGCAACACCAATCACGTCACAACGTCAGATTGAACGTTTGTTCGATCAGATGCAGTAACTACGTTACTGTAATATGGATCGTTTTCTGAAAAGAAAAGCAGATTTGGGAGACAGACCTGTGCAAGCAAAAGCTTCGAAGTGTGTGGTGAGAAAATACGACGCTGAATACATTAAATTTGGTTTTATAAGGGCAGGTACTGAGATTAAGCCGAAGGCTCAGTGTGTTGAATGTGGAGAAATTTTGTCAAATGAGGCGCTAAAACCATCAAAGCTGCAGAGGCATTTGAACTCAAAACCCGGGCTGTGTTGGGAAGCCAAAAGTATATTTTCTAAGGAAAAAAGATGGGCTTCAGGCTCAACAAAAAGTCATAACATCGTTATCAACTCAATCAAAAGTCACCTTGAAAGCTAGCTATATGGTTGCCGCTCGTGTTGCTCGTAGTAAGAAAGCCTTTACTATCGCTGAGGAACTTATTTTGCCAAGTGCTGTGGATATGTGTCGAGAGTTACTGGGTGATGCAGCTGCAACCAAAATTCAGTCAATACCACTTTCCGATGACACCGTGGCTAGACGAATTGTTGACATGAGCGATGACATTGAATGCCAACTCGTGGAACGAATAAAGGCAAGCCCTTATTTTGCCATACAGCTGGACGAGTCGACGGACATAAGCAACGCCGCGTTACTGTTAGTTTTTGTCCGATACTGCATGGACAGTAATCTTTGTGAAGATCTGCTATTTTGCAAAGAACTTCCAACGAGAACAGGGGCAGATAATGTCATGCACTGCCTTGATGAGTACTTCACTGAAAAAGGTCTTGATTGGAAATACTGCTCAGGTATTTGCACAGACGGTGCGGCTGCTATGACGGGAAAACATCGCGGTGTCGTTAAACAAATCCAAGAGCGAGCGCCAGCAGCAAAGTGGACGCACTGTTTCTTGCACAGGGAAAGTCTTGCAACAAAGCAGATGTCACCAGAACTGCATGAGGTCATGAACATTGCTGTGAAAACTGTTAACTATATTAAGAAAAATGCACTCAACTCAAGGTGTTTTGCAGCTCTGTGTGAACGACTTGATGCTGATCATTTGCAGCTCTTGTACCACAGTGAAATACGGTGGCTTTCAAGAGGATGTGTGCTTAATCGTCTTTTTGAACTGAGAAAAGAAGTGCACACATTTCTGGAAGAGCAACGCTCCCCTCTTGCTGAGCATTACACTGATGATCAATTTTGTGCAAAACTGGCCTACTTATCTGATATATTTGATCAGTTAAATCAGCTGAATGTATCAATGCAAGGCAGAAACAGCACAGTGTTTTTGGTTTCAGACAAAATTGAGGGATTCAAGAAAAAACTCATTCTTTGGAACAGAAGAGTCAAGGAGGGACGATTTGACATGTTTCCACATCTGAGTGAAACATTGGAAGCCTCTTCTCATGTGAACATATCAAGTGTCATAACCCAGCACTTGTCTCAGCTGTCTCAAAAGTTTGCTGACTACTTCACAGAGGACCCTCGACATGGAAACCTTTGAATTTTGGACCCATTCTCTGTGGATCCTGCTTCAGAAGACATGGCTCTGTCCACTGTGTTGGAAAATGAACTAATGGAACTATCAGCTGACAGTAGCCTAAAACTTCAACTCACACAAGTTGACCTTGCTTAATTTTTGTTACTGGCTGCAAGTGAATATCCCTCTCTGTCAAAGCGGGCAATCAAATTTCTATTGCCTTTACCACCACATACTTATGTGAGTCAGGGTTCTCCACTGTGAAGTGGCCCTGTTATTGTTACAGGAATAAATGGTTACGGAGTAAACCTGCCAAGTCTTTTTTATACAAGGAGAGTTTTCATCTATATAGCTGACTTGACCTAGTCTGCTACAGTGGCATAACAGATTAACAGCAGATTATATCATTGTACTTTTTGAATTTTCTGTTATTCTGTGTTCATACTATCTTATTTGGAAAGGTGGTCCTCGGAATGTTTTTAAACAGTCATTGGTGGGCCATGAGTTGCAAAAGGTTGAGAACCCCTGCCTTAAAGGGAATCATCATACTTGTGGGGGTGCTTGGCATCGGAAAGTTCAAAACCCCCATTCTTCTTTTAGAAAACACACTCACCTGAAGACGGCTACTAAGGGAGCATAAATCGAGTCTCCGTCATAGACGTACATGTGGTCCCAGCTACATTCGGTCGCAAAATGGTTAAATCGTAACCTCAGGACTGCGTTTGGGCTGCAAAACAAAAGTAACGTGTCCAGTTTTTCTCCAGTTGAATTGTAAAAAAAAAATAATAATAATACATGTAACACTTATGTAATGCTTCAAGTTTGTTTAATATGTAAGATTGTTTTAAACAGTCATGTTCATATCGCTAATTGTATTTGATAAATTACACTTACAGTATGTAAATTGGGGTGAATGAACTTTGTTGAACATTTCTGCTAATGAATAGAGAGAATGTTCCCCTCTTGTGTGTCTGACCTGTTGTTACAGGTATGTTAGCCTGGATGTGGGGATGTATTATTAATTAATTTGTTAAAAGAGTGTTCCCCTTGTGTCTGACCCAGTCATTGGTCTGACCTGCCCTGTTATTGTTACAGGAATAAATGGTTACGGAGTAAACCTGCCAAGTCTTTTTTATACAAGGAGAGTTTTCATCTATATAGCTGACTTGACCTAGTCTGCTACAGTGGCATAACAGATTAACAGCAGATTATATCATTGTACTTTTTGAATTTTCTGTTATTCTGTGTTCATACTATCATATTTGGAAAGGTGGTCCTCGGAATGTTTTTAAACAGTCATTGGTGGGCCATGAGTTGCAAAAGGTTGAGAACCCCTGATTTAGAGCATTAATTTGCAAAAAATGACAACTAGTCAAAATTACAAAAAAGATGCAGTGTTTTCAGACCTCAAATAATGCAAAGAAAACAGATTCATATTTACTTTAAACAACAAGATACTAATGTTTTACCTTAGGAAGAGTTCAGAAATTCAGATTTTCAATCACAGCTTTCATGTGTCTTGGCATGCTCTCCACCAGTCTTTTACATTGCAGTTGGATGACTGTTTGCAACTCCTGGTGCAAAATTCAAGCAGGTTGGCTTTGTCTGATGGCTTGTGACCATCCATCTTCCTCTAGATCATATTCCAGAGGTTTTCAATGGGGTTCAGGTCTGGAGATTGGGCTGGTCATGACAGGGTCTTTATCTAGTGGTCCTCCATCCACTGCTTGACTGACCTGTCTGTGTGGCATGGAGCATTGTCTTGCTGGAAAAAACAATCCTCAGAGTTGAGGAACATTGTCGGACCTTGCTGAAGCTCCCCCAGATCATCACTGATCGTCCACCAAATATCACAGTGGGTGCGAGACACTGTGACTTGTAAGCCTCTCCAGGTCTCTGTCTAATCATTAGACAACCAGGTGTTGGGCAAAGATTAAAATTGGTGTCCAGTTTTTCTCCAGTTGAATTGTAAAAAAAAAATAATAATAATACATGTAACACTTATGTAATGCTTCAAGTTTGTTTAATATGTAAGATTGTTTTAAACAGTCATGTTCATATCGCTAATTGTATTTGATAAATTACACTTACAGTATGTAAATTGGGGTGAATGAACTTTGTTGAACATTTCTGCTAATGAATAGAGAGAATGTTCCCCTCTTGTGTGTCTGACCTGTTGTTACAGGTATGTTAGCCTGGATGTGGGGATGTATTATTAATTAATTTGTTAAAAGAGTGTTCCCCTTGTGTCTGACCCAGTCATTGGTCTGACCTGCCCTGTTATTGTTACAGGAATAAATGGTTACGGAGTAAACCTGCCAAGTCTTTTTTATACAAGGAGAGTTTTCATCTATATAGCTGACTTGACCTAGTCTGCTACAGTGGCATAACAGATTAACAGATTATATCATTGTACTTTTTGAATTTTCTGTTATTCTGTGTTCATACTATCATATTTGGAAAGGTGGTCCTCGGAATGTTTTTAAACAGTCATTGGTGGGCCATGAGTTGCAAAAGGTTGAGAACCCCTGCCTTAAAGGGAATCATCATACTTGTGGGGGTGCTTGGCATCGGAAAGTTCAAAACCCCCATTCTTCTTTTAGAAAACACACTCACCTGAAGACGGCTACTAAGGGAGCATAAATCGAGTCTCCGTCATAGACGTACATGTGGTCCCAGCTACATTCGGTCGCAAAATGGTTAAATCGTAACCTCAGGACTGCGTTTGGGCTGCAAAACAAAGGTGATGACATAATGCTTAAGAATGTGTTGCTGGCTGCATAATCCATTATGAGAACATATTACAGCAGACGCATTTCTGCCAAGTCTGAAGGGTGCAAGGCGGAATGTGCTCCTCCAAGCCTTTTCTGGTAACCCAACACAGAAGAAAACACCCTTGTAAGGGCTGCTAAAGTGTATTTAAAAAGGGCTTATGCAAGAGGGAAGTGTGGGCACAACAAAACTTTGATGAGAAAGAGAAAAGAGGACGGAGTAACACTTACTAGCCCTCAATCAGCCAGGTGCACTTGGTTTTGTACTTGTAGTTGATGGGGCCATCTGTTAGGTACCCAGACGGCTCAGTCAACCTGAAAAATAAGATCAGAGTCGCCGTTCAGAGGACCACATCAAACCGAGCCCGAGGGACAAACAGAACAATGCTATGCATAAAAAAAGATGCAGAAGGTGTTGCAGAGAAGTGCTGTTGCAGTACAAGTAGGCACAACGATGGAGCTGGTTTCTGTGGTTACTTATGGCCATATGGACGCAGGCTTGTGTGGGAGCAGATCCACAATGATTCACTGCTGCAAATGTGCTCATGACACACGCCTAACCAATCAGTTTTCCTCTCCCTCCAGACTGCAACAGAGCCATCGGGCCCATGGAGTGACAGCGCATGAATCCGTATTGCATCATCACAGAACACTCAAGGCCTGTCTGTGTCGCGGGCCACATTAACCACACCAAGCAGGCGGTTTGTTTGTAGATGCCGACTTGAAGGGATGCATCCTTATAAACAATGGCCTCAATATTCCACAGACACACTTTTAATTGAACACACTATTGCTGCTTGCATAGCCAAACACTCCTCAGGGCTAATTCTTCAAGAAAATCAATCTAAGTGACATTGCTAAGACCTTCTGTCCTGCTGTTCTTGATGAGAACAAAAAGAAGAACTGAGCTGGTGTTGCACAAGCATCTTGGAGTGGACCAGAGGAAACAAATGCATAAATATTCACATGATATCTTAGAATTACTATGATACTAAAAGGAATTGTTTAGAAAATTTTACTCATCTAGGGCTATCCAAGATGTAGATTGGTTTGTTTCTTCATTAGAACAGATCTGGAGAATTTTGGAATTACATCGCTTGCCGACCAATAGATCCTCTGCAGTGAATGGGTGCCGTCAGAATGAGTTAAAACTTGATAAAACTAAACAGTAATTCACAACATGACACAAAAAAAGCTTTTTAGCTGTTATTGTTTATTACAAATATACAGCTTTTCACTTCACAAGACATTCATTGAAGGACTGGCGTCGTGAGGATTAAGCCCCGTTCACACTAGCAGTGACTTTTGTCGCTACATGTCGCCAGGGGCTGGTGATGAGGTTGCTAGTGGGCGTTCTCAATACTGGTTGCCTTGACAGCGAATCAGGTTTCTTGCCGCTAAGTACAAACATTTTGGAGGCAAAAGACTAAATATAATCTAAATCTAAATTAAATCCGTACATACAAACAAAAATGAATGAGAAACAGAGCCTACTTTCTTCCATTGCGTATGTTTATCTACGGCGCTGAGAGGAGAACGATCACATGAGCTCTACCGTCTTCTTTCCTATTGGCTGTCGCTCCCGAAAGTCGCTCTTCATTTGCATAAAGTTGAAGGATTCTGAACTTTGTCGCGTCGCTAGACACGCCCCATCCGGTCGCCAACGGCCGCTGTCGCTCATGTCGCCGGAAATCGCCAGCTCTCCATTGAAATGAATGGGATTGTGTCGCTCGGCTGTTGCGTGTCGCTTGTAGCGTGAACGGGGCTTTTCTTGTGGTTTACTGAAATGTTTTTATCAGCTGTTTAAACATTTTGGCGGCACCCATTCACTGCAGAGGATCCATTGGTCAGCAAGTGATATTTCTCCAAATCTGTTCCGATGAAGAAACAAACTCATCTACATCTACATCGGATCTACATTGGATGGCCTGAGGACAAGTACATTTTCAGCAAATCCTTTAAAGGTAAAGTTTGTATTTTCGGCGCAAAACAAAACGGCAAAAATGGCAACTACTGAAATATTCCTGTATACATGGTAATTAGCATATTCAGAATAAAATGAAAAAGACATGACATTCATTAACTGCTATTGTCTTCTGGAAACACTGGAGATGCTCGCTTTTGCCATTTATCATGTTACTTTTTTGTAATTCTGCACAGTAATTGAATCAGCTCATTAATTCTCATTCATGTCCCTGACAACAGCGCACAAGAGAATGTCCTTGAGTCGTATTGTGCTTTTGCCTGCTTATTTATCTCTTCATGTCTTTTAATGTGTGTAATTAAATCTGTCTCTTCCTCACTCTACAAATGTGTTTCTTGCTAGACTTTTCTCAACTTCCTGTGTCACATCAACAATCTAGCTGCCTGGTACATTTTCTCATCTATCTTGGCTGGTAGTCTAAAAAGCTTATTTTTGCCCTGCAAGCAAATTTTCCATTAGAGTGAATATTCCAAACAAGGTTTTAAATCACATCAAAATTATGATTAATACAAGCAGGTTTCTAGAATCCATATTTTTGGCTAAATTTGGTTATGTAAATCAGGTCAACACAGTGCCCTCCAAAAGTTTGGAAACATCCTAGGCAAAGTGGGATTCTGGACAATGTCAAAATAACTTATTGAAGCAGTTATCATTTGAAGCAATAACCATTTTTCTTAATACTTAATACTCTTAATGATAGAAATATATACACTACCATTTAAAAGTGTAATGTTTTTGAAAGATGTCCCTTATGCTCACCAAGGATGCATTATTTTGATCAAATATACAGTAAAATATTATTATAATACATATTTTAAAATCTAATTTATTTTGCTTGAATCCTGAGTGTCACATGATCCTTAAGAAATCATTCTAATCTAAATAATAATAATAATATTTAAAAACTGTACAACTTTTGAACATTGCTGCACACACATTGTTTGACTGATAATTGAAATGACATTCATCTGTGCACCACAAAGCAAAGTGAAAACAGCCTGCAAACAAAAGTCATCTTTGTGGTTATATTTCTCTTGTAATCATTTCTCTCAGTCTGTAAATCATTCCTCACTTGAAGTGAAGAATCGCTTCAAAACAACATTTCTGACTGACAGCAAACCAAATGCAAATGCTGAAAACCTGGCACTAACATTGTTGTTGTAGGTTAAATCGTAGCCTATTAACAAGCTATTTCTCCACTCTATGTTCTGCATGTCTATAATCAGACACAGAGATTTTAAGAGCAGTTAAAAACAGTAATCACGGTGCACCACTTCCTGTGCTGGCGAGGACATCCCTCAGGCTGAATGTTGGCGAGAGGGATGTTTCTCTGTGCAGGCACACATTCAGAGAGGGAACTGTAGGTGAGTCAACAGTTAAAATATTCACCAGGTTTTCATTAATCTTTTATAGCCCAGTACCACAGCAAATATCCACCAACAGCCAGGATTAATACCTATCCCAGAGGCTTTGAAGCCGCCACCGGACATGGTTCACTCAGCCTCGCTCAAAGGCTGGCCTCAGGCATTCAGAAAGAGACGGGAAGGGAGTTACATAAAGATCTGCAGAACAGCCATTGCAATATTACAAAAACAAAGTCTTGTGTGCTGAAGGTAAATGGGGTCTGAACGGTGCAACTCAGCACTGCAGTCAGCCATGCCCAAATGCCTCTTCATCAGCTAACTCAAGCCCCGCTTCCTGCCACGTGAACAGGAGTCCACTAATATCTGTCGATCACTTCCTGAACCTGCCAGTTCTCACAGCCCTTGTCTTCCTGTGGTCGGCGTGTTGCCTCCCACCGCTTGTTTGTTAAGCTGTTGTGTAACAGGAAAACTGTTTTTAGTGCCAGAATGATGTGGAGGCAAGGACACTAGGTTAGGACTGCTGAACAATTCAGGTTTGTTCATTTATTTTAAAAGTTGTGGTATCATCTATCCACTTTACAACCTTTTAAAGGGATAGTACAGCCAGAAATGAAAATTTACTCAACCTCATACAGGTTTGGAAATTTAATTACCTAAAGATCAGAACTGCATGCGCATCGTACTAAACAAAATTATAAATATGTCGTTACTCCACCACATTTGACTTAAAGTGCCCCTATAGTGTGTAATAGCTGTATGTAAATTTAAACTATCTGCAAAGTTGTGAAGCCGAAAGCGCACGATAAATAAAGTTATTGTCTCCCAAAAGAAAGAATCGACTCTGAACAGCCTAAACGAGTTTCAGTAATTAGAATCCCACTTTGTGACGGCTACACGTCAAGGTATAACACATTTGCATAATGTAGCTTGTCCGTGTGTCCTACACTGTGAAGGTAAATTTGTTTTATTTTCACTTCCGATAGATGAGGCTTAAATGAGGGTTAAAATTCACAGCAGTACAACCCCAGTCTTTTTTTGTGTTCCCGTCATTTTACTGACGACTGCTTCTCTAATATCTTGTCCGTGTGTCCTACACTGTGAAGGTAAATTTGTTTTATTTTCACTTCCGATAGATGAGGCTTAAATGAGGGTTAAAATTCACAGCAGTACAACCCCAGTCTTTTTTTGTGTTCCCGTCATTTTACTGACGGCTGCTTGTCTAATATCGGGGAGTTCAATGCGGGATTCACAAAACGCTTGCTCTTGAAAGATGGCTCAGTACCCAGTTTATTTGGACCAGCTTGCTCCACTGAATCAAAACCTGTAAGTATGATAAATAATAGATGTTTATATTTTCTATCGAGCGTTCAAAATACGGAACTATGGCAATGAGAGCAGAGTAACTCATGGAAAGTAGGGGCTTAGAGAGACTGAATCTTAGAACTGCTTCGAACGAATTGTTTGAGAATCCCTGGAAGGTGAGGTGATATTAAATGCATATTTTGAGAAAACTAAAGTGTTTTTTGACCTTGCATGCATGCAAACCTATTGTAAGAGACTCCAAAAACAATATTAGGAACCTTAAAATGGCATAATAGGGGCACTTTAAGATTCAATCAAAAACAGTGAGCTATATTTAAATTCATACTAAGCAAGCAAGATCGAATGTTCAACAGGAAGATCTATTCACAAGGAGTTGAGAAAGTGACGCTGTTCACAGCTGTGAAATGTAAACTGCAACACTTTTACTGACAAAGGGGATTTTAGAGTGGAAGGATTCAAACACTCTTTGTTTTTGTCCAGGAGGTTTGAGTGAAGTGCGATACAGGTAAGGGTGTATCTAGAGCATTTTAAATGGGGGGGGGGTGCTGGGGCTAGAGGTCTTCACGGGTCCACTTGGATCCAAAAACCCGAGGTCCGACCCGAGAGGGTTTGGGTCCAAAACTTCGACGAGTACCTCAGACACG